GACTACGGTATATGGCTTTCCAAATGACTTGGCAAGGAAAGATTTGAGGAATAATTTAGTGGCCAGTGTGCCTTCTCAAAGTCCCAGGGCATCAAAGTCCTCCTGAGGTTCATTCCAATCAGCGGCCAACAAACATTTCCAGGCTAAACAGTTCCTACAAACATGTGAATAATGAGATAAAGATCCGAAAACCCAGGTTGATAGACACTGATAATGAGATGGAAATGCCATTCAAATTCAAGGGAATTAATCTCAGGGTCAGGGAAACCCTTTACTGGGGCCATAAATTCAAACTTAGTCCAAGCAGTATAAGTATTTTGATGGTCTCCATCACCCAATTCAACCTTAAAAGGAACTATTAAGTAAGGGGGAGGAAGGTCTGGTGCATTAAGAGAAGTAGACATCAGGAGAGGAGAAAACAGGAAGTTCAGAAAGATCAGAAAAGAGAGGAAAAAAATGGGGTGTGAAGTGGGAGTGGTGGAAGAGGTGAAGAGGTGTTTTCTCTGGAGGGGGGTCTAGCTTCAGAATAACATGGGCAAAATTTAGAGAGTTCCCCCATGGTTCCTCTTTAACTTCACTTTCACAGGTGCAAATTCCTTTTTCTAATTTATCAAGGTGTTTATTCCATTTAAAATTATTCTGTTTAAGAGGGGATAATGGGTTTCATTTAGTGCTCTCAAGGTACCAGCTAAAGAAAGCCTCCCATTGTCTTTGGGAAGTTTGGTGTTTTCTTTGTGCCGATTGTGCTTGCAAATAAGCAAGTTGTGAAATCTCAGAGCCCCATCCGGGTCAGCAAATTTAAGATCATGCTGGGTCTGAGTGATATTTGTCCAAAGACCCAGCCCGAGACAAGTCTCTGCGCCATAGGCCCTGCGCATAAAGGTGGCTGGGGTACCAGAGGGTGGCTGGTTATTGAATGGGAGCTTAGAACATGGACTGTCCATTAACACCTTCAAGTGGCCCTTAAGCCTCACTGTCCCCACAAGACTTAATGGATGAGGTCCCAAAAAGCCATATGGACCACGTCCAAATCGAACCTTGCTGGTGCTGAGGCATTGATTCTGAGACGGCATTGGGAGGAGAGCCTGGGTGCTGCTTCAGATCCCACTGCTGCCATCGAAATAGAAACAAATCCAAATGGTGTTGGAATGAAAAAAGGAGAAGCTTGCCCTTGCTGGTGTTGCTCAGTGGTTAGAAGGGTCCCAGGTTCGATTTCTGGTCAAGGGCATGCACTTGGGTTGTGAGTTTGCTCCCTGCTCCTGGTCGTGGTGAGTGCAGAAGGCAGCAGTCAATGTGTGTGCCTCTTTTTTCCCATCCATCCCTCCCTTCAACTCTCTCTGAAAAGCAATGGAAAAAATATCCTCAGGTGAGGATTAACAAACAAACAAACAAAAAAACAAAAAAAAAAAAAGAGGGAGAAAACTTTATTCAGGCGAATAGTTTGCAAACTGGGGAGACACAGCTTCCGGTAAACAAATGAAAATGTACTTTCACTTGAGACAAAGGGGAAGATGATTTTTTGTTTTTACAAAAACCACTCAGACTGCGTCTTCTCCCTCTTCCTCTCCAAAGGGCGGGTTTCCCACTCAAGGAGAGAACACTGTGCCTCTTCCTCGTGGTTTTGGGTGTGCTACACATTCAGAGGCATTCTCCAGTAACAAACTATAGAAATGATCCCTGAAAGTAGAGTCTGCTGGGGAGGGCTGTTCTTTATACCAAAGTTCCCACCCAGGTTCCTACTAGTAATTAGGTCCATTTTATGTAAATGAATATCCAATTCACACAGTTCTGATTGGTCTGAATCACACAATTCTGATTGGTTGAGGCAGGTCTCAGTCCATTGGTTGAAAGGTAAAGCAGGATATCCTTTATAACAGTTGACTCAAGCCCTAATCAGTATGACTCAGTTGGGTGGAGCATCATTATAAGCACTGAAAGGTCAGGAGTTTGATTCCTGGTCAAGGTCAATGAGAAACATCGATCAGCTGCCTCCTGCACACCCCCTACTGGCGATGTGCCCACAACCAATGTACATGCCCTTGACTGGAATCGAACCCAGGACCCTTCAGTCCGCAGGCCAACGCTCTATCCACTGAGCCAAACTGATTTCAGCTGCTTTTTATTTTACAAGTTTGTAAAATAACATTGAGATAATGACTCTTATCTATTCCGGGGTGTCTAAAAATTTAAGTAAGACCTCAACATGAGGGAGAGGACCCTGGGTACAACTCCTCACTAGAGGCTTCTCCTGCACCACTAGGAAAGAGTAAGAAATCTCCATTCAGTATCATGGAGACTCAGGTGTATCTTTTTTTTTTTTTTCCTGGGAGGGGGGTGTTTGAGGCTCAGGTTTGGGATCTACTGTATTTTATGGAATATGAGCTCCTGTAAAATGTTAATCTCCCCATTATTTTATGTTCCACTGAGAAAGAAAGAAAACAAATGATCAAATAAACGAGGTCACACCTTAGGTTATACGATGCATTTGCTTTCTGAGATGTTAAATCTGAAAAATGTTTATCTCGAAATCAACGACTCAGTATGGTATCTGCACATCTCTTCCTTAGGTGGGTAGGTCATCTGAACGACACCATTCACCTGATCCCTTCCTTTCCCTCAAACCTTCTCCTTCCCCACCCTGCCCAGCCAGTCACCAAGCCCTGTCTTCTCCACTCCTGCTGCCGCCTGCCTCATTATCTCTCACCTGGACCCAGCACCAGCCTCCTAACCAGCCGCTCATCTTACTCTCCTATCCATTATTCATTCCACAGCAGCCAAGCGATCATCTCATGTCCTTGCTTAAACATTTCCACTGGCCGCTTTCCCCGCAGGGTGAGGTCTGTTTAACTTGGCGTTTGACTTTTCATGACCTGGCTTCTGCTTGCCATTTTAAGCCTCTTGGCACTTCCTCCAAACGAAATTGCTTGGTGCTTCCTCAAAGCACCCTATGTGTTTTTCTTTCCAGGCCTCCAGGCTTTTGCACCAGCTGTTTCCTAGGCTGGGACTACTCTTCCTCCAACAAGTATTTATTGAACATGTAGTAATTGCCGGGAGCTGAGAATGCAGAGCCAAGCGAGGCAGGGCGAGCCCAGCCCTCCCAGGGGCCGGTGGAAGAGACAAAAATGGAAACGTATAATCATTGCATTAGAAGCCTTACACATGGTGGGCATTTGAAAATGTCAACCTCTGCCTCAGAAAGTTTAAGAATTCGAAGAGCGCCGAAACTGGTTTGGCTCAGTGGATAGAGTGTAGGCCTGCAGACTGAAAGGTCCCAGGTTCCATTCCGGTCAAGGGCAGGTACCTTGGTTACGGGCACATCCCCAGTGGGAGGTGTACAGGAGGCAGCTGATCGATGTCTCTTTCTCTTCGATGTTTCTAACTCTCTATCCCTCTCCCTTTCTATAAGAATCAAATATATATATATATATAATTGAAAGAGGGCCAGGGAGACAGTATGAAGCCCATCAGAACCCCGGATCTACCAGGGACTACCTGTTGTACCTTTTGGGGGACTGGCCCGCGGAGTCTCCACCTCTGAAATGGAAACGTGCCCGCCCCACAGAATTTCAGGGAAGATTTTACACGCGATAGATTTCACCACGCGGCCGTGCTGGGCCGAGGGCCCCTCCTCCACGGGAGGCGCGGCCCCCACCCCGGGAGGCTGCGGGCGAGACCTGGGCGCCTCGGAGCGCCGCGGCCGGAGCGCGGGGAGCGCCCAGCCTCGGGCCCCGGCGGCGGGGCCGCGCGCAGACCGCAGGCCGCAGAGCCGGCAGACCGGGCGCCGGGGGAGGGGCTTGGGGGGCAGCGCTCCGCCCCATCTCCCCACTTCGGGGGCCAGCCCCCTCGGCGCGCCCCCGCCCCCGCCCTCGGGCCGTGGGGGCGGGGAGGCGGGGCCGTGACCCATTCATGCCGGGAATCGGATCCAGATGTTCCCGCGGCGCGTGCAGCTGCATCCTTGCCTTTTTTGGCGAAAAACGTGCGGCGGCGAGCGGATCCCGGGCCGCCTCCGCTAATCCTCGGGCGGAGGGGGGAAAGGGGCTGGGGGACCCGCACCGGAGGCTCTGCGGGGCTTGGGAAGGACTTACTCAGGGAGGGGAGACCCACCCGTACCCCCCGCGCTCCCGTAAGCCCCTCCCTTCTCCCGGGAGGAAAGAGCCCGCAGCCAGTAGGGGGTTGCCAGGTTAAGCCCTAGAGGGACGGTAGCAGCGGGGCGGCGGCCGGCGGGGATCCCTTTCTCCAGAGAGATTTCCCATCCCGCGGCCCGCAGCTCCCCCCTCTGCCCTGCACCGAGGCCTGGAGTAGCCTCAGAGCCTCCAGGTCCGCAGAGGAACCCTCTTTCCCCTCCGTCCCTGGACACACACACACAGGGCCCGTGCTGCCTCACACTGCTTTATTGCAGAATCTCTAAGGGGGCGAACCAGTCCACCCCTCTGCCCACCTCTGGGCAAATGGAGCTGAAATGAGAAAACAAACAACGATGGATCGCGGGCCGGGCAAAACCCTGGACCCTAGGACCTTCTAGCCAGTGAGCCCTGATCTGCTGCCCAGACAGCCCCAGCCCCGGGTACAGGAGTGGGATGGGGGTGGGGAGGGTCAGGCCTGAGTCCGGGACTTCGCAGGCACCCAGAGGAGACCTACAGTCTGCCGAGGCCTAGACTGAAGGGCCTGGGTCCGAGTCCAGGTTTGGAGGGGAGGGATCTAGAGCCCTGATTTGGGGAGAGGGACTGGTCTGGGAACCACAACTCTAGGGGTCAGGACTGAGTATTCTAGAGTTCAGGCGTGGGAAGGAGATACGAATGGCAGAGGGTCCGAAGGAGCCCAGGTTTGGGGACCCCGGGCCAGGGAGTACCAGTTTGGGGATGTTGGGGTGGGGAGGCTGAATTCTGGAGCCCAGGGGGAGCCCCAGTTTGGGGAGAGGCTGGGTCCGAGAGGTGGTTTGGAAAAGGAGCCTTAGTCCTCAGGGCCCTGGTTTGGGAGGGCCTGGGCCCAGGAGCCCTGGCTCAGGGCCCCGCCTGGCTGCAGCCCTGGCATAGCACTTTGTCTCCGTCGGGCACGAAGCCTTGGCCCACCAGGGAGGCGGAGCAGCGGGCGCAGGCGAAGCAGCTGTGGTGCCAGTGGCGGTCTTCGAAGGACACGTACTTGCCCCCACCGAGTCCTGGAGGGAGGCTGGACGTTAGCTCTGCTGACCCGGAGGGCGGTCCGGGCCCTCGGCCTCCTCCAACCCCAGATCCCCTTCCCCTGCCTGCACCCCACCCTCTCAGTTCTCCGACCCCTCTCCCACCTGTGATGGGGCGCTTGCAGCTGCTGCACTTGGGTGCAAAGAGTTCTCCAAAACAGGTCACACAGTAGGGATCATCATCCCGGGAGGTGAACTGCTGCCCTGCCAGGGGTGTCTGGCACCCCGTGCAGACCAGGCATTCTCGATGCCAAGGCTGGTCACGGTATGTCACGCCACCCTGTGTCAGCGTCTGTGGGGGACAGCATCTGTCAGCAGGGGGGGAATGGGGATTCCCACCCCACAACAGAGCCTTGCTCAATCCCCACCCATCCTACCGTGGGGACCAGGGCCCCACCCTGCCGGCCCCCACCTTGCTGCAGCGGGCACAGCGAGGAGCAAACTTGTTCTCGTAGCAGGGCACGCAGTAGTGGGCGCCCTTGTCGGGCACGAAGGAACGGGAGCCCAGGGGCTGCTCACAGCCGCTGCACAGGAAGCAGTGCTCATGCCACGTCTGGCCTCCGTACTCCAGCTTCCGGGACCCTGTGGGGAACAGGGGTCCCACTCAGAAGCTGTGCACCAAGCTCCTGTGAGTGCCACCCTCCACTCTGGCCCCGTTCCCCAGGAGAATCCCGTTTCCATAGCTCAGGCAGGGCGGTGTCCGTGCACATGCAGCAGGGCCCCACCACACGTATTGTACATGCTAACCTCCCCAAACACTGGGCATGTTGGCCAGGCACATGCTAGGCCCCCATACACTACACATGAGGGTTTGGCACATGTGGAGTCCTCATATGGAACAGATAGGACTGTCTCATGTCATTGATATGATGACTCAGTATATGCTAGGCCCTTACACACCAGATTTGATGGTTTTAGTACACCCACAACTACCCGACTTACACTAGCCAAGCAAGTTCTAAAGTTCTGGACACGGTAGGTTCTGTACATGCTAAGCCCCTGCATATCCCAATCATGCCCTTCTCCACATATTCTACATTCTTACACATATTAGTAAGCATGCACTCAGAACACATGTTAAGCCCTTTGTCTCTGCACACACCAAGACCCACTGTACCAAGCATGACAGTCTCAGCATACGCTTAGCTCCTACATGCACCAAACATGCAGCTCTTTTGGCATGCGAAGCCCCAAGGCGTGTCAGTTTGTCCATCCATGGTGAGCCCACAGGTGTATACCAGGCCCACCGGTCCAGTGCATAGTCAGCCCTCAGGAATGTACCAGGCCTGTCAGTTCCCGTACATGCTAAGCTTTCAAGTGTATACCTGTGCATGCCAGTCCCTGTGCATGCCAGTCCCTATGCATGCTAAGGTCCCAAGATCATACAAACACAACAGATCCTGGATACCCTGAGTTTCTAAGGACATGCTGCCTGTGCAGGTCTTTCCTGTATAAACCTCCATGTGTGTATCAGACAGGGGTGCCAGTCCCTTGCACATGCATGATCCAACCCTGCACAGAGGCCAGGCATGCCGGTCCCACACGCCAGGAGCCCCCGGGGACGTACCCGGCATGACGGTCTCCCCGCAGGCGGAGCACTGCGAGGAGAAGGCACTGCAGTAGCAGTCGTTGCAGAGCAGCTCGCTGTCCTGGCAGGTGAAGGGCTCGTCGGCCAGGGAGCGCTGGCAGCGGCAGCAGCGGAAGCAGCCCTCGTGGAAGTGGCGGTCTTCGTAGAATAGCTCCTGCCAGAAGCAGAAGCATCGCAGGGGCACTGGCACCTCTATCCCCTCCCTCCAGCCTCCGCCCACTCCCTGCCCCTCTGCCAGGTCTGGTCCTTACCCTCGAGTCATGCCCGATCAGCTGCTGGCACTCAGCACAGGTGTTGGCGAAGGTGTTGTCGTAGCAGGGGACACAGTAGGGGCCGTTGTCCGTCTGGATGTATTTCCGGCCGTACAGAGACTCGCTGCATTTTGCACAGTCAAAGGCCTCACTCATGGTGGCGGTGAGCGAGCCCTGCTAGGGACACGAGGGGCAACAGGGTCACCAAGGAGGGCTGCGGCTTAACTCCTTGCAGGAGCCTTGGCATTACATAAAGAGCAAGAGGCCAGGCATAGAAAATGCCAGGTAAGCCCAGCTGGTGTGGCTCAGTGGTTGGATGTCAACCTTTGAACCAGGTCACGGTTTGATTCCTGGTCAGGGCACATGCCCGGGTTGTGGGCTCGATCCCCAGTGTGGGGCATGCAGGAGGCAGCCAATCAATGATTCTCTCTCATCATTGATGTCTCTCTCTCTCCCTTCGTCTCTGAATTTAATTTAAAAAAAAATTTTTTTTTTAAAAGAAAGAAAATGCCAGGTCAGAGTAGGTGGGGAAAGGGTGCTGCTGGGAACCCAGGAGACCTGCATGTCTGTTTCTATATTTAACGGTAGGAATAGAAGGGGGTCAGAAAAAAATCAGGAAGCAGAAGTTGTTTTCTTATCTGGGCCCTGGCAGATCTGGGGCGAGGGGGCTTTTCCTGGGTCAGTGACTCATTTCCTGCCCCAGCCTGAGCTTAGCCTCCACTGTCCCTACTGTCCCCAAGGGGGCAAGAGCAGGGGCAGAGAGCCACCCCATCCTCTTCTGTAGGAACAGCCCTCCCACCCTCGCCTGAAGGGACCCTCGGGATGCAGATAAAGGAGCCCCTGCCTCGAGGTCTGGAGCAGGGAGCGTAGGGATGGGAAGGGGCTGTTCCTGTCTGTCCCCATCCAGGAAGCAGTGGGATGTCGGAGGTACAGCTGAGCGGATGAATGATGGAGGTGGAGGAGGCGCTGTCATTGAGCCTCACCTCCCAGTAGCGTCATCTCAGCAATGATGACTTCAGGGGCCCAGCCTGGGTTTCAGCAGGAAGGAAATCCTGCAAGCTGGACCTGGGCAAGCTTCCCCAGCTGGACTCTCTGCTCTCACCCCCCGCCTGGTCTCTGGTCGCACCAGCCTGGGCAGCCCGTAGCCTGCAACATCTGCAGCAGCTGTGGCAGCCCAGATGGCCAGATGTCAGGTTTTACCAGCAACAGGGAGAGAAAAGGGAAATGAGCCGCCCGGGGAGGGAGAGGGGAACTGGAGACAGATTGTGCAGCGTGCCTCCCTGCCATCTCCTGCTGGGGGGCATCACGCTTGGCAGCATCTGGCAAAACCCAGGAATCTTTCCATCCCCTGGGTCACAACGTCCCTCCTCCTGCCTCTGGGAGAGACAGCCTCTCCCCAGCTTTCCTGGTTCCTAAGGATTTGGGGCGGGGGAGTGAAGGGTGAGAGAGGGAGCCACGGAAGACATTTTCTCCCCAAAATCAGAACCCCTCTCGGGTGGGGAGTCAGGCAAGGGGGAGCCCTAAGAGCTGTTGCTGCAGACACCCACTCCCCCCACCAAACCTCAGACACTTTCCATTTTCTCAGGAACAAAGCATGTTTGCGGGATGAGGTCATCCACACAGCTGCCTCTGGAACAGGAGCATGGGGAGTGGGGGTGGTGGTGGGGAAATGGGGTTCCTGGTCCCTTCGGTTGCCCCTGACACCAGTCTCTCGCCCCAGAGTCAGTGCTCCCCACCTCCGGCCTCCTCCATCCTGAAGCCTGCTCTCCGAGGACAGGGGTCCCGGGGTGGGCTGAGAGGAGGCCCCAGGACCCATCGGAAGGGCATGTCCTCACAGTACACATGAGCCCGGGGAGTACAAAGGAACCCACCAACCTACTCCCTCCACGTTAGACCTCAGGAACTGGCAGTCCCCAGAGCCTGCCCTGGCTCCAGTTGAAGGGAAAGCCCTCCTTTTCTCAGCCACCCACAGTGGGAAATTCTAGCCAACAAGCCTTTGCTCTGCCTTGGAGTTCAGACGCCAGGCGCCAAAGGACGCCCCAAGCCTGTAGAATCTGGCTCTTCGGAAGGGAAGGCTCGTGAGCTCATAGCTGTCCTGTGCGGGGCGAGGACACTCACTTCATACCCTGGCCAGGGCCTGAGGCCACCAGGAGTTGGCGTCTTCGGAGCAGGGACTTCTGGAGTAGGGGCTATGCTGCAGGGTGGAGGGGTACCCTTGCTAGAAACCCTGCTTCCTACCGCTCAGGCCTGGGTTTCCTCTGGCCCGGCATCTGAGGATTGCCTGGGCTGTCAGCCACGGGCAGCAGGGGGCACACAGGTGGAGTGTGGCTATGTCTCTGTCCAGGAGCGCCTGGGGCCTTTTCCTTCCTTCCGGGCTTGGCTCTGAGAAGCCGCCACCTTCCCAGGCCCATGCTAGCCCTGGGCCCACCCCCTGGGAGGCACTCACCACTCTGAGACAGGGACACCCCAAATAGGGTATGGGCATGGCTTCTGTTTCTTTCCCAGAATCCCCTCGTCTGTCCAGCTGGGCTCCAGTGAGGACAGAGTGAAGGGCACTATCAAGGCCCACCTGTCTCTGCCCGTTTCCCTCCTCCCCCCGTTCCCTGGCAGCACTGGGGGACCGAGGGAGCCAGGCTTGTGTTCCTTCCTGGCGGGGAGGGCTGTGCAGCGGAGACTGCTCAGGTGGCCAGATGGTGCTCAGCCTCTACCCCCACCAGTACACACACCTCTACACCTGTCCCAGCCACACAGCTGGCACCTCTCAGAGCTCAGAATAGCTGGATACATGGCCATGCCATGTGGTGTGCAGAGGCTTCAACTGTGAAATGTAAACTTGGGTGATCTTGGGCGAGCCACTCCCGCTCTCTGAGCCTGTTTTCCCATCTTCTACTACCTCCTACCTCCTGGGTTTACTGTCGGGCTGAAATGTGACGGTGACAGTACCCTGATGGGGTATAACCACCAAGTTACCCACCCCCTATGTCCCAATAAAAGAAAATTCACAGAAAAAAAATTTTTAAATGTGATGATACTTGGGAAGCACCTTGAGTTAGTTAGTTGCCAGTCAATGGAGGATATTCGTGTTTTTATTATTAGCCCCTCCCTCCTACGGGGGTCAGACAATTGTTTCTCAGCCAGGCCTGGATCATTTGACCTGGACATTCCTAGTGTAGGCCCGGGGAGAGAACAGGGAGGGAATCCCTGTGTCCACTTGTAAGGTGACCAGACGTCCCGATTTTTAACCATTTGTCCTGCGTCTCACGGCGTTTTAAAGAAGTCCCAATATTTGGAAAGAATCTTTCCCCAAAAATCGGGACTTTTTAAAAACGCCCCGGGACGCGGGACAAATTGTTAAAAATTGGGACTGTCCCGCCAAAAGCGGGACGTCTGGTCACCTTACACTTGGGGCACCAAAGAAGCCCAGGCTCTCTGAGGTCAGCCTGACTCCAGCAAGCATAACTCTGAGACCCCCCCTCACACATCTGGATGCTACTCTCCTCTCGCGAAGTGCATTCCCATCCACCCACCCAACCACCGTCTCATCAGGCCTCACAAAAGGCAAGCAGGAAGGTAGTGGGGCACAGAGGCCAGAGACCGGGCGGGGGCAGACTCAAGGTTATTCAGGTACCAGAGAGCCCAGGGGCCCTTGGCTGTTTCTCTTTCCTCAGAAACGCTGCGATGGTGGTGGGAAGGGGGGAAAGCACGAAGAGCAGGGGGACATGAGATGCCGGGTGACATCAGCAGGACAGGAGCCCGGCTCTTCTCTCCCGCTGCCAGCCCTGCCCTTGGAAGACACCCAGGAGCCTTTCCAATCACCCGTGCCAACCGCTCAACCTTTCTGCCCCCCCTCCCGCCCCCACTGTCCACCTCCCTGGCCAGGCCCCACAGCTGTGAGCCAGGATCAGCATGGACCCCTCCTCTAGCTCCTGGAGATGACAGGAGACTAAAGGGGAGACACTGAACTCAACCCACCGCTACCCTCACCCTCTGCTCGCGGGCACCTACCCCAATCCTCCACTCCCCCTCCCTGTCCTGGGCCTGGGAGACAGAGCAGTTTAGGGGGAAGTGGGGGGGTGGGGGGTGGGTGGGAAGCAGGATCCAGCAGCTGCTCTGGGGACAAGAGAGGAACAGTTCATTCACCCCGAGTCCCCCAGGGCTGAAGCGGCCGTCCAAGATCCGAGTTTAAAAATAAGTTGAAACTGCCTTTGTGTATGCCCGGGGCTCTTGATCTTAATCTTGGTCCCAGGTCCTCTCCTCTTGGGGACTACGTTGGCCCCAAATGTGTTCTTGCTTCCCAGTCTTCTGGGCCTGAGTCTCTCTTGCTCTCTGCCCGGGAGGCAGCCACGGCACCTCCATTAAATCTCAGTCTCCTGCATCCAGCGCTGTTCCGTTTCCCGGCCGGGCCTGTGTGTGTGCACACACACCTCCCAACTGTCTGTACGCAGTGGGTGTCTCTGTATCTCTCACTGGCCATCTCCCAGCAGCTCGCCTCTGTGAATTTCTACCTCTGAACACCCACGTCTGGTCTCCTTGTGTCTCTCCTGGGAAGAAAGTCCCGGTCCCCACCCCATCCCGTTCTCCATCTCTCCGCATCTCTGCGTGCCCGAGTGTCTCCGTCTCAGGCTCTGAAGGTCTGGACAGGCCTCCAGAGGCGGGTTCACAGCCAGGCTAAGGAAGCCTAGGCTCCTGGGCCCCTCTCTCCCCCAGGATCCCGGCCGCCCTGGAGTAACCGGACAACCAAGGGGGGTTCAGGCTGCCTGATTTCTGCCCCCAACCCTGGGAAGGGCCTTACAACGCAGGGGTCACTAGATTCCCTGTACGCTTTTTCCTAAAAAGCTCCACACAACCTGGGCTGGCGCCTATGCCTGGGGCTGTGTCTCATTGACTCTTAGTAAGCCCAAGTCCCGGTCCTGTTTCAAGTAACTGCAGCCTCCGGTCTGAGCCTGCCTCCCGCTCCCGCTCCCGGTACCGGTCCGGGTCCCGGTCCCGATCTCGGACTCCCATTCCACTGGGCTTTTGGGACCCTCAGTTTCTAGGACCCTCCGGTCTGTATTTAGAGACTCTGGCTTTTCCATCTCAAACTTGGCCCCCTCCCCCGGCCTCTCCCGCAGCGCCCCCGCCCCGCCGGGGCCGGAGCAGACCCTCCGGGGCTCCGC